TAATCAATGAATGCTTTATGGTGTTGCATTTGAAAACACACGAGTGCAGGATGAATGCCTTTGCTACACTCACTAAAATTACATTTTATGCCCTATATAAGTGTTTACTTTGAAAGGTTTCGCACATTTATTTCAATCATTTGAGATTTCAGTTCCACTTGCATACTCATGATTACAATGCAATTATTAGAGCACTCTTTCTCATATTTTAAATGATAAACGTTTGCCGTTCTATGAAAAACCTTTTGAAACCTGTATTATTTATTATATGACACATATTTATATGAAATAAATAACCTTCTAATTTTTAAAATTCAAAAGTGTTTATTGAACTTTATAAAGCAAGTTTCCCCAAATTTAGGAAAATACATATACAAAGACCAAATTAAAATTTGTTGGAAGATTTTGGTTTGAATTAAAAAAATCGTTTATTTTCTAAAGTTTGTGTTAATATATTTTTCAAATTTTACGCGCGCGCGTTCATATATTTCCATTATATTCGATTATTGAAATGTGCATCCACATAGAAATACAGTCTGGTAAAATCCTGGTGTTGCCCAGTTCATTCGTCTAGCTAATTATATGCTTCATTAAGATTAAAAAAAAAAAAACTCGATAAAGTTCGTCTTGACAAGTCCAAAGGAAAAGTAATGCTTGTAGTGTTTTTCGATTATCAAGGACTTGTCTATTATGAATTTATTAAAGAGGGGGTGACTATTAATAAACAACATACAAATATTTGGATTTAGCACTTCGAAAAGAAAAGAGTTGACAACTCCTGTTGGTGTGTGCAGCTACGCCGGGCTACACTGCACTGTGATCAAGGGCTACTCCAAGAGTGCAGGCTACCAGCCTGGAGTGCGGTTCACCGACCAGAGGTTCCGTAACTCCTGGAACGCGGTGTATGTGGCCGGGGGCTGGCGGTTCGTGCAGTGTAACTGGGGTGCCCGGCACCTGGTAAACGCCCGGGAGGTGCCGCGCGGGGCCCACGAGGGGCTCCGCTATGAGTACGACGACCACTACTTCCTGACCGATCCCCGGGACTTCATCCACGAATTCTTCCCCCTCCAGCCCGAATGGCAGCTCTTGGAGGAACCCCTGACCCTGAGGAATTTCGAAGATCTTCCTTTTGTTCGCTCTCTTTTTTTCAGGTATTCTATGGCTCATTGATATGCCTGATTTAAATTTTTATTGTGACTATAAAATTATGAAAGAGCTATAATATTAGAATTTTTGTTGTTTACACGAATTATCTTTGTCGTACCATCATATGTAGAAAGGCGAGTAAGCTTCATCTCAGCTAACGTTAAAATGAAATTTTTAAAGTAAATTGTTTTCTCTCAATATTTAACAAAGTTTATACAAAATACCCTGTTATGTGGACCCCTAGAATATTTCTACTTACACAATAAATTTGAAGATAAAAGACTTTTTTTTTTTTTTGAAATTTTATATAATTCACTTTAATGCTTGAAACATAATATATTCCAAGGCAAATAATGCATTGAATAAGGGAAATAGAATTTACATAGGCAATTAATAAAAAATATATGATTGACACAGCATAGTAGCCAAAAATGTTGCAACAGTTCTCCCAAGATTGACAGGAATTTTTTAATATTCGTAGAGTTGAAATTCTTTCACCGCATAGTTCCTTTATTAGATTGGAGGCCTGCGTTTACGTGTAAAAAGTTGAGTCTCGGGTTCTGGTGGAAGGATTATTAGTTCTTGGAAGGTTGACTCTGAGCCGAATTACCTGCTTCTGTAGGTAGGCTGAGTGGAACATATCACAACGTTGAACCTATATTGTTTCCAAACTGCTTGGTGTAATATCTATCACGCTGTCTTTATCATGTGGTTTTCATTATCCTAGGTTTGTGGATTTCGACAAATTACAAAAAAAAAAAGGCATAAGACGCCGTGCAACTCTTTTTTTTTTTGTTAGTAAAAATAGATCTCTTAATAAAAATAGTTGCATCGTCTTATGCCTTTTTTTGTAATTATGTGGTTTGTTAGATTACATTGTTATAATTTGATCAAGTCGGATTAGAATGTTGAATTAAATGTACAAGTCTTTTGGAATCTTAGTGTTAAATTATGGAGTAGCTCGGTATCTGATCCATTTGAGATGGATATCCTGTGATGAAATAATTTATTAAAATATTCCATTTTTATTGTAAATTTTTGTCTTGAACTGGTGACTTACAAAAACGGTTGCATTGTCGGTAACGATATCACGGGATAGACCTCGGGCAAAATGTTCGATGTTAGAGGAGACAGTTTTGATTTCACCCCATCTAGATTTTGAAACGATTATTATTTGAAAGCATGTGAAAATATAGAATTTTTATATATGAATAGGAAGCCAGTTTTCACAAGGATGTAGTTGAACCTTTGAAGAATTTGCTTTGATTTGTAGCACATGGTTCACACATTCTTCAAATATGTTCGATATCTTGTCTGTTTTCCAGCAAATGTATTGACATGCGAGTTGTTTCTTTTGGTTATGTGTGCTCGATAAATATTGTGATTTTGTAATGGTTACATCTGTATTTAAAAAAAAAAATAGGATTCTTTCTGCAAGAGAATCCAATGTTAAAATTGAGATATTTTAAAAGCTAATACTACAATGAATGAAGTGGAAAAATTACAAAATCAATTTATATAAAAAAAAATTACCTCATTTCTTAAAGAAAATGCGGTCAAAATATATACTGAGGGATCCTCAGGAGTTGGAGCTGGAGTTATCTTGCCAACTCACCTACGACCTGAAACACCTTGAACTCCACCATGAGTGTTCAAACTTCCAAACAGAACCCTTGGCTATTCCTTACAAGAACAACACTATCCATATTCTCAAACATGAAAACTTGCAAATTGCTTCAGATTGGCAATCGGCTCTTTTTGCTATATGCAATCCTGACACCTAAGAACCCACCTTGTTGCCTAAATCATCTTTAGCCTTCATGCACCCAGTGCGGTAATGTGGCTAATGATTTAGCAAACCAAGCAACAAAACCTCCTACTTATTCTATCTTACTCTCGCCGTCCTTCCTAAAAGCGCCGCCCGCAACAAATGAACTCAGTTCACACAGAATCTACTCGTATATACATTAGAGATTACTCAACCGATATTATCCGAATATTTGCTATGCTACCAATAATTAAACATGTGTACTTTTCAACAACCATTCTAACTGGCTATAGCTACCTGCAAGCAGACTACATAAAATGTTTCCTGATTGCCCCCACTGCTAAAATGAAGGCTAAACAATGAATTGCATTTTCTCTTCATATGCCCTGTTTTCCAATACCAAGTATTTCTGACGGCCACTCTACTAGGCATTTCTAAGGTCCAACTTGAATTGCTGGAAACATTTCCTAGAAATAAATCTACTTGGCGTCACCTAATATCTTGGACTTCAACTCCCATTGTAAATAAACTAGAGAGACTTAAGTGATATGTAGGACAGCCAAGATACTTGGCGACATCTTTTGTCCGCTCTTGGAACCTGGAATAGTTTTATTTTTCTATATATATATAAATGATGACACCACACTGCTAGCAGAAAACAAGAAGGACTTATGGATTATTGATAAAGTTAAAAAGAAGAAATTCAGAAATGTTGGTTTAAAATTAAATATCAGCAAGACCAAAATTATAAATACCGATAATATAAATAGCTTTGAAATTAAAAAAGAAAAATTGATATAGTTGATCACTTTATATTATATGGTTCCAGGATAGGTAAGATAGGCGTTCCTTATAGGAAGTAAAAAGAAGAATAGCACTAGGATTGGACACAATAATGAAATTGGACAAGATTATTAAAGATAAAGGCATTTCTCTCAAGACAAAGAAGAAAATTATAGAGGCGTTGGTATACTCTATGGTCACTTATGAATAGAGATGGACACTCATAAAAGAAAAAAGAAATAATTGAAGTTTTTAAATAACCAGTTGTTTAATTGCGGTAGCTGAAAATTTATTTTTTCCTTTTTAGTGCATTTTAAATAGGTTTTGTGAAAAATATTTTATTTTTAATTGCAATATATATTAGAAACTATTTTAGACGCTTAAGATTCTTTTTGAAATTAAACAATTTCTACTGCCCTTACTGCAATATGGAAAAATTAATGGGAGGGACTGGCTCATCAGTGGTGAACCCTCCCAGCGGTTTCGCCAGTTTAATCTACACCATACTGCTGTTATATTGCATTTTTCGATCTTTCTTTTATAGTGATACTGTTGCTAGACTCTTGGAATGGGTATTTTAGATGAACTATGGACATGAGCTTTGAGAACAGTAGAATTACATGCAATTATAAATATATAATATGCTTCGAGCAATCGCTCTTCCGCAAATATCAAATTGAGTCTTTTATGCCAATGATTGGGAACTTTCAACCCCGACAATTGACCAAAATTCACGGTGTTTAAATACAGTATAGGCAGCCTATATCGTGTTTCTTCTTCTTTCTTTCTTATCTCCACTCAATCATATTTGGGCATCAAGTTGTGACCCTTGATGGTGTCTGTTTGACAACCATCATGACTGGGTGAAGTAGAATGCGTCTGCCTTTGTCATTAAGACTGGGAGCACTACTAAGTGGCAGTCCGACTTAGCTCTAAAAGAAACGGCCGCCTCTGATATGAGAAACAGACGCCATGTGCAGCTGCTCCTAACATGAAGTACAAACGCTGCTCATCCTGTATCCCTGGATTAGGAGCCCTTACAGGGTACTATCAGCCGGGCCAGCTGTGCCCAGGTTTTTTAGTGAGCTTGTTACTGCTCCCCCTCCTCCTCTTTCATCCGGCTTGGGACCGGCAAAGGCGGAGTTTGTACTTGGGATAAGTAACAAATGTAATATAAAACGAAAATTGCAATTATACCGCGAATGTTTCTTTTAAACAAAAATCGAAATCCATTTCAAAGAGAAATAACGACTATTTCTAACTTTAAGTAAACGTAAATATTATTTACGAACGGAAAAATACGTCCAGGGTAGCCTAGTGGACATGGCACCTGCCCGGTAAGCAGAAGGTTGTGGGTTCGATTCCCGCTCCTGGACACTTTTATTTTTCCGTTTGTCATTACTCTTCACAATTCATCCTATCATACTTCATCCTTAAAGTTAGAAATAGTCGTTATTTCTCTTTGAAATGGATTTCGATTTTTGTTTAAAAGAAACATTCGCGGTATAATTGCAATTTTCGTTTTACAATCATCAGCCGCGTTATATTGTATTTTAAATGTAATATAGTTCCCCACTATTTGGTAAACTTATTTTATACTCCCAGTATAGATATTGTGTACTACTTGTCTATTCAATTCTTATATACTTTCTATCTATTTCTTGTAAGTTACTTAGCTGCTTCTTGATGGAATTTACAAAAAAAAAAAAATTCATTTAGGTGTATCCACTATTAATGAAAATCATTTTGTGACATATATTTTTGTTAATTATTTTTGCGCAATTTTCTTAACATAATAATTGATCAACTCTTTAAAATTACCATGGTAAAATTAGCTTAAATGTCACGACACGCAAAATTCATCCCTGTCAATTATTTATTCAACCAAACTGCTTTTTACATGTGTAGACCTGAAAATATACCTACAGTTCAGTTTGGTTTTAGTGCCTACCATGCTTATTACCTTGTATACTAGGGACAAGCAAACAACAATCATAATTCTCTTCCTTCATTTATACTTCTTGTCTATTTAGTATATAATTCTTATATAATTCTTGTAATATTTTTGTCAAATTCTTTCTATTTCTTATATTCGCTTTGCTACTTCTTGCATTCTATATAGGTCTATCATATTTTAAATACACTTCTTGATCATTGCTATTATTTCTTGCGCGTAGGTATCTTCATAAATATTTACTAGGGTTTACAGGCAGCTGTAGGTGTAATTATTGTTCCGCATTCTAGTGACATAATTACAGAGCTTTTTGTCAGTTGATCAGCTTATGAAATGCTAAGTAAGAGGTTTGTTAAGTGATAAGGATGAGTTGTTTTCCCCAGTTCTCTGTAAATTCATACTTCGCCGGGTCGTGTTATTTCGACTGCTAACACAAATTTTATAGCATATCTTGTCATTTCTATTGCTCATGTTTAAAAGATGTAACCGAGATTTGGTGTTCTAGGTACCGGCTCTATTTCCCCGGGTCAGATACGCGGGCCACGCTGACCACGGATGGCACCGGAGCCGCGACTGTCACGCTGGGGGTCCCCAAGGATCTAGCAGCCAGTCTTATTTTCCACTACAACCTTCGCTTCTTCGACTCCGACTGCGATCAGTACGAGGGGGTGTCTCTCAAGCGGTACGTGATGCAGTCCGCCGATGACGAGAAGCTGCGAGTGTCATTCCGTGTTCACGCGCCCTGTAGCGGAGCTTTGCTTCTCGACCTCTTTGCCAACGCCGTCACTCCTCGCGAGTACCTGGCCGGGGATCCCATGAAGTTCAAGTCCGTCGCCAAGTTTAAGATCCTCTGTAACGACCTGCAAGCTGTGATGGTGCCTCTGCCAGATTGTGCTAGTGGAGAGTGGGGACCTTCCAAAGCTCGGCGTCTCTTCGGGATGATTCCTCTTGGTCCATCCGAACCTCTCGTAGTGTCTGGTATGCACGATCTCGTGATTCCTTTCCGAATGACCCGGTCGTTAACAGACTTCATGGCCGCAATGGTGAAGAACGGCTGCGATGAACGGTGTCTGGCCCGACGGGTGTCCCACACGGTAGAGAAGGAAATTGTCACCTTCCGTGTCAATTTCCCCGAGGCTGGGCAGTATGGCCTGGACATCTACACCAGGGAGGTGACGGACGACGATCCCAGCCATGACCGCCACCTCCTCACCCACTGCTGCAAGTTTCTCATCAACGTGGTCGCCGACTGAACACCACCTTGCTAGAGTGCAAGACTGGCCAAAGAAATTTTAATTTTTTTAACGTTTTTAAAAATATATTCTAAATATAAAAAATTTTATATTGAGAAGAATTTGCATGCACGAATTGTGAATGTTTTGCTTTTGATAAAAATATTTATAGCGAAAATGAAATATCTTGATCCTTAGCGTTTCTGATGGCAAAGCGCATGTATCGCACTAAACGTGTCATTCTGGATTAAATAAACATTCAGCCAGATTGACAGCACTTTGCAATAAGAAACATTGAATTAATTGATCATGATATTTTTTTCATTCATAATTTTACTGCTCGACCCTATTCTACATTTATTTTTCCCATAGATCTGCGAGAGGATGGCATACAGGAGAAAAGAAAGAAAAAAATAGTGGCAGCTCTCTCTCAAATATATTCCAAAATTTTCAGTTTTTTTTTAAAGTACAATATACAAAGATTAATAAATGATTTATTTTTTTTTAATTATATCTATTGATGGAATTAAATCTCTTGGATATTAATCAAACAAATGCAACAAGTTTCTGAAGATGTGATTTTCTTTTAGCTTTATAGATATAATAAAGAGATGAAAGAAACTCACATCTCCAGAAACCTGTGGCATTTGTTTGATTGAGAAATTATATTTACATCAAAGCCAATATAGGTCTGTCACCAATATTTCACTGGGAACAATTTTTAAAACTTTTTCCTTTAAATTATGATATATTAAAAATGTAAATTAACGCTTTGGTGTGGATGAAAAATTATAAAGGAATATATATTTAGCTATATTTGACAATATTGAGATCCTTCAACAGCTTGTATGCTTGTGGTATATATTTCTATTTGTGATGTTCTAGTCTCCGACAGATGCTCAGCTCTTCAGAAATATATTTGCCTGTTTATATTATATGTTGCTGTATACATTTATGTGATTTCACAAAATCCAGTATATGTCCTTGCTTAATTACGCAGTCACCAAACAGGGATAATGTTTGTAGGATCCTCTCTAAATGGTGTTAAACTCTTCCTTCAAAATTTGTTTCAAAGTTCGCCAATGTAAGAAGATGTGCCAGATGCACATGGGACACGGCACATGAGTTTGGATTTGGTTTCCTCTTTTGGAATACGTTTATTATTGGATGAAAATATTCACCGTTAATTTTTAAGGACGAATTTTTAAAATCAGTAAATGTGAATATGAAATGATGAAGGAAGAACTTCTACAATTAATGAATGTGAATATGAACAATAATTAAGGAAGATTGTATACAATTAGTGAATATGAAATATTTATATAAATTTGTCCATTATTTTGAAAATAGCGGTGAATATTTCAATTTATACTGTGTCCATAATATGTACTGTTTACTCAATACGTTTAGTGTTAGATTGAAAGAAAATTCTTTCTAAATTGATATCTGGCTTCGAGAGAGAGAATATTTTGTAACCTTTTAGAGTTCTGCTTATTTTTTTCAATTTCAAAATTGTAGTTAAGTGACGTGTTCTAACTATTATTAGCTATTTTGGTAAATTTCGCAGGACATCCTTTGTATTTCGATTATTTGAAAAAAATGTTTCTTTATTTTTCAGTAATTTCGATATTTTAGAACAGTGATTGATGATTATTTTAACAATGTTTTTATAACGGATTTTTTTGGTGTATAGGAGTAAACAATTTGAAATTGAATTATGTTCATGTTTTCATACATGTTTCCTGTATTAATTTGTTTATATGATATTATCTCTCTCTTACTTCTCGTCACTTTAATATATCTAAGAATATAATAAAGTCTAGTTCTCTTCTCTTTTTCATTGGAAAATTCTAAATATTGCTTCGAATCGTTCAAGAATTTCCAGTGATATCTAAAATGTATGATTTATTTTATTTTCAATGATTTCCATTTTCTTAGGTGAAGATTCTTTTGGCAAATAATTATTATTGCCTATTATATTTTAATATAATATATTTTTTGTAGTTTATAAGATCAGGTTATTTGAAATTTAAAGGTATATATATTTTTTGCGTATATAAATTTCAAATATACTATTTTTTTCTATCAAAATAACATGTTTTTTCTATGGAAATGCTTTACTTATTAAAATGAAAGGAGATATTTGCAGGTAATTTTCTACTGACCTTATGAAATAGAAGCGTTGTATTATTGGATATTTAGAATCTATTACTCGCGAAGTGTGTCTATAAGGTAGAGCTATAGTGTTCTTGTGAGAATGAAACCATTATACAAATGAAATGTCAAGTACACATTACTTAACTACACTTTGGCAGAGGCGCTGCTTATCATCAAACAGCTCGAGGAGCATGGACTCATGGAGTTTGTCTTTGCCCAAGGGGATAAGAAACAACTAAACTAAACTATAGTGTTCTTGTATTTGAGTTGGCGCGATAGGAAACCCAAACTGGCAGACTTCAACAGAAATTCTAGCAAGCCTCTTCTCATCACGTGAAGTCACAATAAGATCCCTTAATATCCAAATTCACTCTAACACTCGGCTGCATTCGAGAAATCAAATGGTAATGGCAACAAATTGTAAAAAATAATAGCTAAATCATTCTCAGAAATACGATGGTAAATATGCAACTTTCCGAAGATCATTTGTTGGTTGGAAGTTGATTCAGAAAAATACAGCCACATCAACCAATGGTTTATTTAACATCGACGTATCAGTGACAGCTGTCACTCTCCTTAGGATAATGCTTATTTTGAATTCTAGTTCTACTTATATACATACCCGATTTTGTAAAATATATTTTAGAAAATTGTGTATGTAAATAAGTAGAACTAGGATTCAAAATAATCATTCCCCTGATGAGAGGGACAGCAGGTCACCGGAACGTTAGGAGTTAAATACATCATTGATTGATTGGCTATGTTTTTCTGAATATATGCAACTTGTTTGACGAGGCATAGTAAATTGGCTGTTCTGTTATAATGAGAGTTCACATATTTTTTTCTATTGAGGTGTTGAAGAAAGTAAATTTAAATTATATACATAATCATCCTTCGTCCAAACTTCATCTCATTTCTGTCTGGAATCGATACTGACATCGTTTTGAAACACATTTTTTTAAATATTTCGGCCTCATTCATTATTTTTCCCGTACAACGTAATGGAATTTGAGGTACGTTTCAGGAAGGCTTT